TCCTGAGGGTCATTAGGGTTTTTGTCTGACTCCTGAGGGTCATTAGGATCTTTGTCTGACTCCTGAGGGTCATTAGGGTTTTTGTCTGACTCCTGAGGGTCATTAGGATCTTTGTCTGACTCCTGAGGGTCATCAGGGTCTTTGTCTGACTCCTGAGGGTCATCAGGGTCTTTGTCTGACTTCTGAGGGTCATCAGGGTCTTTGTCTGACTCCTGAGGGTCATCAGGGTCTTTGTCTGAATCCTGAAGATCACAGGGTTTTTGTCTTCCTCCTGGGGGTCATTAAGGTCTTTGTTTCCCTCCCCTCTGTTCAGAAGTTCAGTTGTTTTGGGTTTTATTAAACTCTTGGATTCAACGAGTCCTGGATGACTGAATCCAGTCCACCATGACCTTTCTTGACTTCTTCAAAAAGTCTTTCCTTGTCTCATAGTTTTAAGGAGATGGACCCTCCTGACCCTGTGGAAGGATCAGGGATGCTCACTCAGGTTCTGTTGAAGGAACCGAGGTTAGAAAGAGTTCAGACGAACTTTCAGATGATCCTGGAGCTCTGTTAGAAAACTAAAGTTGTCTGATCAGCAGTTTTTTTCTTCTGATGACCTTCACTTTGACTTAGTCTGAATCAAAGATAAGAACCAYGTTTCAGAACTGGGTAGTTGTGTGTGACAGTTTGGGTCTTTTTTGGGGGGTTTCTGGTTGTGTCTCATGTCTCGTTGTGTCAGCAGCGCTGGGCCTCTCAGACTGTAAAATGATGTAACTGAAGACGTGCTTCAAAAACATCTGGAGACAATTATTTTTATTTGACCTTTTATTCTGTTTCATAATGAAATAAGTTTTATTAAAATCAAACCATTTGTGATAAAATAACATCTTTCTATCATTCTGAGGTTTAAAATGTGTTTGATTGTCAACATCTCATTTATTCTGTCCTCGGGAGTCAGTTGGGCTTTATTATAAAATGCTGAGTCAGCATTTGTTGTTTCCTGTTTGTTGTGACACACACACACACACACACACACACACACACACACACACACACACACACACACACACACACACACNATTGTTGTTTAAATGCTGAGTCACAGTCAGGATAATTTGTGTAATTGTTGTTTAAATGCTGAGTCACAGTCAGGATAATTTGTGTAATTGTTAGTTAAATGCTGAGTCACAGTATTGGTGTTTTGTGTTGTTATTGTTTCCTTCAGTCTGACAGAAGTTTTAAAAAGATTCACCAATAATCCTCTGGAGATCAGGTTAAATAATAAGTATTGTATTTTTCTAACTCAAGGGAAGAAAAGATTAAATTAAACTTGTTTAGTTTTTAAGGTTGAAGATCAGTTTTTAATCTTTGAATGATGATCAAAAATTAATGTGATTTTTTTTGATCAAGGTCTTTTTATTAATAATTTTTTAAACATGAACCACAAAAAAGAACAGACTTACAAAAACACAAAACAAAATACAAAAACACAAAACAAAAACACA